TATATATATATAGATTTAATGACTATCTGCCCATATTTTTAAAAATTTCTTTCTTTCCGATTGATCGAGAGTTATCACATTTTTTATGAGCATTTTAAGAATGTAATTAAATAATTCAAAAAAACGAAATCTCATTAAATCATTAAAAACATATAAAGTGATGTTGTATTATATATTTATATATAGTTATAGGTAATCCTTTCTCCACCAAAGTAGATGCCTAAGACAACTTGATTAACAGTAGTGGGTTTCACAAGACAACTTGATAATAAATAACAATTTGTAGTGCAAATTATTTTTTCTATTTGTTGATAAGTTTGAAAAGAATTAAAAATATGACTCTTACTCGGAGAAAATTTTAACTGATCATAAATTCTAAATAAGTTCATAAATTTTACTTCGCTAGCTAGCTATGAATTGGCACTAAGTGGGCACTAATCATTTGGAAATGTTTAAATTAGTTGAGGTCATTTTCAGAGCAAGATTACTGTGAGATCGACTAATCTAAAAAAGTATGACTTTGAAGAAAAAATTAACTTAAGTTTTCTTAACATGTGACACGTTCTTTATTTTCTTAAAGAATTTGTTAAGGAAAATTGGAAAATGATTTAATTATTATGTATAAATAAAATGGATTAAAACTCCATTATTAAATTCTTTTCCATTAAGCTAAAGATGGACAAAAATTAAGAAAATTTTAGAATCTTGGAAAATGTATTCCGTACTCATTCTTGCTTCCAATCAAAGCCTAGCTAAGAGAATGTAAAGAGGTGTTTACTTTTAGGGAATGTGAAAGTGTGGATTTTTCTAGAGTAACTAATGGGAACAAAAGGGGGATTGAAATTCCCACCAACAAAGCCCTTAGCTTTATGTTAAAGGGAGAGAGTATTTGTTATTTGTCATTATCATATTGGGAGGATGAAATGAAACCCACTTCATACAACTTATGCAAATCACCTTTTAGTTTTGCCTTTAAAAAAAAATAAAAAATTGCTTTCCTAATTTAATATAAATCAAAGATTTTTACTCCCAATCTTTATTACTTGCAAAACGTTAGTGGTACTTTGGAGAGTATACTCCCGTCACATAATTTGTACTAATTGGCTATAAATAAATAAAGATTGTTCGTCGAGTGCAAGACTCACTTGTCGAACAGGGACAAAAGTCGATCTTAGTGATTCGAAGATATTAAGTGGAAGAGCGATTACTTAATGGGTAAAAGTTATTATAAGAGGGCGTTTGGTAATCAGATAAGCTCAAACTTTCATGAAAATTTTAAATGTGGAAAAATTCTTCTCAAGTTCAATATTTGACTTAGAAAAGTTCGGGTCAATGGAATCACAATCCATGCTATCAAGAAAAGTAAATCAATTTGTCAAACACCTTGTGCTCAAATGTTACCTCTGTGACTCTCATTGAGGGAAAGTCACAAGATCGAGCCCCAGTGATGGGACCTAGGGGATGTAAGATTCTTTTTCTCGAGTGGCTGGGAATAAACCAAATTTATTCAATAATGTATTTATCCTTTTTGACGTCAAATTAAAAGTCTCTTATAATATTTCTCTCTCATCATTACACGTTATTTATCAAAGAAATTTATATCCAAATATGTAGTTAAAGTTTCCCGTAATTTAATTGCAATATGCATGATTCATTACGTAACAATGTAGTACGTGTGTGTACATATATAACTTGATTTTAATTTTTGTGTGTGGGGATTTTTTGGCATATAGTTTATTAATTTACAAGTAATTTATTAAACTCTCAATTATTTGTTATATTTTTTTAATGTTTGTATATAACAAGAATATATTAGAGATTATAAACATTTTCATGGAGAAGTTTAAATGAACCAAAAATGTTAATTGATTTTTTAAGTAATTTAATTGTTATATTTGCAGGATAACATCAAACATATATTAAATAATTTTCCTAGTAAAGTTATTTCATTAAACATATTCTTTGAAAACATTTTTTCAAAAAATTTATTGATGGGAAAGTACCAATCAGCCTCTAAAAGTAATAAGTTAATTTTTCTCAAGAACTCAATCAATTATATTAGTTAATACGTCAAAAATAGTTAAGGAGTAAAACGAAACACGTGAACTAGAATTCATTATTAATTAGGTATGCTTTTCTTCCCTCTTTATAATGATGCCCATGTTTTTTAACCCCAAACCCTATACTTATTCCCTTTTAATAATGTTATGCTCCCTAATTAACTAGCTACCTTTGAAGATTCTCTATAATATTTCCACTCATTTATTCCTATGGAAAATACCGGCCGAGTTTAATTTACTTGGTCTAACATGGAGTTCAATGAGAGCCAGGGAAACTTCATGCATGGGGCCAACCCTAGCTTGAATTATCCTCTCTTTAATGTTTAATTTGTAATTTTGTTATAAGTTATGTATGACTAATTAAACATGCATTATTTTTAGAGTATTAAATTTTGACATTTTTACGGTTGTATATTTCATTCTACATCATTTATGAAACGAAGAGTACTTTTCCGTGCATGAATCAGGCTAGCTCATTAAGTTTCTGCGCTAGATTGCTCGAGTCATCGAGTTTATCGATTTTTAACTATCGGATTAATTTTTTTTATCGAGTTCACATTCAATAATTTGGCCTTTAAATGGGTTTACCCTACTAGTCCAAACATGCTATTGGGCACATTATTGGCAATAGTTATTGCATGGACGGTGTGTGGACCATGGTAAAAAAACGACGTTGTTTCACGTAATTTTTTTTTTTTTTTTACGTGACTCACTGCAATATACATTTTTATGACTCATAGTGTACATTATTCTAAAGCTTAGTGTACATTATTCTAAAGCATGATGTACATTATTCTAACTCATATAGTACATTATCTTACCTCAGAAGTTTCATTATTCTAACACATAAAGTACATTATTCTAACTTATAATGTACAGTATTCTAACTCATAAATTCAACGACGTCGTTTTGGACCATGATTAACACAGTTGTGTGGATCGTAATTTGCCCATTATTGGTGATTTTGGAGGAACTATTTCTTTCCTATTATTTTTATGTAAAAAATGTATTTTCTATTTAAAATCTTAAATTAATATATTGCTAATTTAATCAATAAAGTTAAAAAGTAAAATCAAATAAACAAATATAATACAAACAAACATACAATGATGCAACAAATTAAAGCGTGCCAAGCACCTTGTGCTCAGATGGTATGTAGTGACCTTTTTTAGACGTTGTTGATTCTGTGTGCTTTATTAGGTTGAGAAAGTATGTTTAAACAGATACTATAATGTAACAGAGTCAGTAGCATTAAAAAAATAAAAAAAATAAAAAAATAAAAAAACTATTGGCCATTTGTTGTCAAAGAGCATTAATGCATCATTAATATTTCCTAGAATAGGATCGAACTTGTCGGTCTGCACATTTTATTTCATGTGGTCCTTTAATATCAAGTGTAATGGTTTAAAATACAAATTAAGTTAGGAAATGAAACAAGATAAAGAGTATTATAGCATGGAGTTTTGTATTGATTCATAAGAGTATACATGTAAAAGCATATAATAGTAGAAATTGATTTCCCCAAAAATACAAGTTTTTAGGTCAATATATATAGGCCCGGTTTGGTAAAAAATTGGCCTATAGGCCAATTTTGACTTATTTGACTACTATTAATTGTTTGATTTAGTTAAAATATCAATATAAATATTTGGTTAATTAACTTTTTGCAACTCCAAAAGGCTAAAATTCAAAAGGCTACTCCAAGCAACTTTTTCAATTAGCTTTTTGTGAAAAGAAATTACACCAAACAACTATCAGCTAACAGCTAATTTACCAAACATTTTTCTACAATCAGCTAATGTTATCAACTATTTATACACTCTAATTAACAGAATCAGCTAACAGCTAACAGCCATTTTACCAAACAGGGCCATAATGTGATCATAACGAATATTTTTTAAAATTTTATAGGTTTGGTTTGAATTTCATGGGTCACCATGAGTCCAAGATTGTTGGGCTTACCCCTAGTTGGGTTGAGGACATTTGAATTGAATTTGGACTTTTTACTTGGTAGAGTCTAGACTTTAATTATTCAAGTAAAGAGTTTTTTTTTCTTCATGTGTAAAAATTTTGTTATTTATAATGTATTATAAATGGGTGTTTAGATATCAAAGAGGGAAGAATGAAGAAGAAATTGAGAAAAATAGCTTTTTTGCTTGGATTTAAGTCTGAGCTTAAAAATCACAAAATTTTGACTACCCAAAAAAGTGGTTAAATTTTTAAGATTTATAATTTTTGTAACCATTTTTCAAAGTGCTTAAGAAGTAATTAGAATTTCCAACCACCAAAAAAGTGATATCCTATTAAATAACTCTTCAAGTAATTTTGTAAATTTTAAAAGTAGTCAAAATTTCTGACCACCAAAAAAATCATTAACATTGAAAGAATTTACTCCGATATATAATGATCAAGAATCAAAAGATTTCCAACACCAAAATAATGTTAGTAAAATAATAATCAAGAATATAAATTATTTTAGTAAAATTTTGCCCGTGGAGAAGTGGTAAAAGAACCAAATTTGCTACTAAATTGAAACTCATGGAACTACAAAATGGCAAAAAATAGGTAACTAGTCAAAATCGCAAGATATCCAGGCTTGTAATTATAAGATCACAAGTTTGAATCGTTCCCCCTTGATTAAACCGGTCAACTATATGTTGATTGAACCAGTCAGCCACGGTCAGTCATAAATAATTTAAATGCTTGTAATTATAAGATCACAAGTTCGAATCGTTCCCCCTTGATTAAACCGGTTAACTATATGTTGATTGAACCAGTCAGCCACGGTCAGTCATAAATAATTTAGATGGTTTACTTTCTTGTGGTCCTTTACAATGTAGCTAGACTCACGAGGCAATTAAATTTTACTATGTTTCCTCATAAAGAAAAAATGGCAAAGAATTTTCATTTTGGTAAATTATAGTATGGAGTAACTTTTATTCCTTCATGGCAGTCAATTAAGTAGTCAACCTACGCATGTTCTTTCACGTAGGTACAAGGATACGATGATCTCCATTATATAGTTTCATACCACAATATATAGGGCTCGCCGTTAAACCTACTTTCTCGCTCGCAGGATGGCCGGAATTAATCCCATCCATCCGGGGCGGCAACGATTCTCAAGTCTCAACTAACCTACACACATATATACTAATACCCCTCCCCTATTGCTTCTGCTTCATTGCTAACTTTCTCTTCTTGACGAGCTCGGAAAACGGCGGCTGACAGTACCCTTCCTTGAAGAACAGATGCGAGAGCTTCATGTTCATGGCGGCGGTGAAGTGGATCCCGTCCCAGCTGATGTATTCATGGGGGTTCTTGCAGGTGGAGGCGCCGTTGCTGCCGCAGACCTGCAGGGGGTTGAAGTTGAGGGTTCCGCCGCCGGCGCCGCAGCAGGCTTTGGTCCGCTCGGCGAACTTGTACTTGAAGTTGTTGGTGTAGATCTCCATGAACGCCCGCCAGTAGTCGGCGTAGAGGATGGTGCTCTGAGGGTACTGTTGTCTGAACTTGGCTAGCACCTTCATGAGCAGCCGGTTGTGGATGTCCGTGGCGGTGTTTAAGGCGATGGAGCAGCCGTTCCGGTCGCGCAGGATGAATGGCCGGGATATGGCCGCCGGAAGACACCCCACTGGGGGTAAGCCTTGTACTACTATGTATCTTGCTCCTGCTTGAAGCACCACCTGCATATATACAAATTGTTATATATATGCTCAAAATACTTTGATTTACATACAAAAAAATCCAAACCCATGGTATAAAACTCTCTTGTGACTCTAATGTTAGGACCACAATAAAGTAACTAAACTAGTCTAGATTACTCATAAAGACGACGACCATAACCATAAGGAAGCAAGTAAATCAGCCTATTTTGTTAAGGATCATAAGGAAATAAGTAAATTAAACCAGCCACGGAATCAAGAAAATTAATATATAGCTCTAATGAAGTGTGGACCTTGAAATCTTGGGGCAATTAACTGAACTAAAGTCTCTAAGAATGTCAATAAACATCTCTAATAAGTGTTGAACTTAAGAATATATATTGTGATAATAATCAGATGACCAACTCAAATTAGACAGCTCTAATAAGTGTTGAACTTAAGAATATATATTGTGATCGATAATAATCAGATGACCACTCAAATTAAAAAAGTTAATAGACAGCTCCAAGGAAGTGTCAAACTTCCTGAAATATATCTTGGAACCATCAGCTATCCTAAGATCCCTAAGAAGGTCAATAACCAGGAATCTTGTGACAACCAGTTAACCGATTCAAACTAAAAATGTTAGACCGCTCTAATGAGTGTGACTATTAAGTTAAATCAATTTGGCTATAGGTTGGTGTATATATGTATATATACCTTGAGGAGTTTTGAGATGTGGAAAATGCACAACTGAGAGATTCCTCTAAGATTAAGGACAGTTTGTCCATTGACGCGAGTGTAGTCGGATGCACCCACGGCGCCTAACCAGAAGAGGGCGTTTTCAACTTCCGCCTTGCAACGAGGATCGCCGGCCACGCTGTTGCACCCCTTTGATGCTAAAAACTGGTTGAACCACTGTATCTCTGTATCGAATGGGAGAGGTATTCCACCGTGGAAGAAGGGGTTTGTTCCTTGGTTGCTGTAGTTTTTCTTTGACAGGAATGTTGATCCTGCAATGGCGAAATTTATCCCGAAACTGAAATTTATGCTGGCGGATATGCCAATTCTACCACTTGCTCCGGCTCTCCCACCCGCACCTCCGGCTGAACCGCCAGCAGTGATCGAACCTCCGATTGAACCACTCGCACTTGCAGAACCTCCGATTGAACCGCCCGCTGAACCACCTCCACCGGCTGAACCGCCTGCACCGGCTGCACCGCCCGCTGAACCACTTGCTCCAGCAGAACCTCCAATTGAACCACTAGCACCCGCCGAACCTCCGATTGAACCGCCTGCTGAACCTCCAGCACCGGCTGAACCGGCCGCCGAAGCACCGGCACCGGCTGAACCGGCCGCGGAACCACCCGCACTAGCAGAACCTCCAGCTGAACCACCAGCACCAGCCGAACCGCCGGCTGCACCACCAGCACCAGCCGAACCGCCGGCTGAACCACCTGCACCAGCAGAACCGCCGGCTGAACCACCTGCACCAGCCGAACCGCCAGCTAAACCACCTGCACCCGCAGAACCGTCGGCTGAGCCACCAGCACCCGCAGAACCGCCGGCACCAGCAGCACCGCCAGCTGAGCCACCAGCACCCGCAGAACCGCCGGCACCAGCAGCACCGCCAGCTGAGCCACCGGCTGCACCACCAGCACCAGCTGAACCGCCGGCTGAACCACCAGCACCAGCCGAACTGTCGGCTGAACCGCCACCGGCACCACCAGCAGCTGCCGAAGCAGAGCCTTTACCGCTAATCGACGTCGAAGAAGAACTACTGGATTCCGTCGACGACGAACTACTTTCCTCACTACTGGACGAAGACGACGACGACGACTCACCTTTATACGGAGGGAGAGGCGGTATATCAAGATCTTTACAGAGATAATCCACAACCAAGCCCCCATTACTCATCCGACCATCGGAATACTCCGTCGACGTCGTCTCCTTCGACGAAGACTCATGGCGCGTCACAGTAGTAGAAGAAGAAGACGACGATTCTTCTTTAATAACTCCCATGGACTCAGCGTTTCCCGTGTCGGTGCTCGACCCTCCAAACGCATACACCTTATTGAAGGTGTTGGAATAGCTCTCCGTCGTAGTCTCCGACGACTCGTGAGATTCTTTCGTCGTGATCGTCCTCTGAGAATCTGCAGATGAGAACCAGAAGAAAAACAAGAAGAACAGAGAGAGGAAAAGAGGAAAGGATATTAATATTTTCGACATGATTATAATAATATATATATATATATAACTAATAACTCATCCTAGTTTTTTTTTTTTTTTTTTTTTGGATTTTTTAATTTTTTTTTTAATTTTCTAAAAATAAAATTTTAAAAAAAAAGTTGAACTTTGAAGTTCTTATTGAGATAAACAGTACAATGTTGTTGTGATTTGTACATATATATATGTCTGGTAGAGGGCGGGGAAGTGGAATGGAAATGGCTGACCTTAGTTTTAGCGAATGTTACGTTAATGTTAATAGGTTGTAATAACGACGACTAAGTCATAGTTTTGTAAATGTCGCATGAGATCCTGCATGACCTCTTATCCACATGCATGAAAAACTTTTATAGGATATCTTATGTGATTGTCAAATATTAAAATTTATCGAACAAATAATATATATTTTTTTTCATTCTTTCTAAAAGGTTGAACCCCAATTTAGTCCAAGAGAGCATCTGAGATGTAAATCATGGTAACTCAACTGAACATGAACCACAGAGGCTGGCACAATGAGCTCCATGAATAAACTTTGCAACAAATAACCTTAAAAGCTTATTAGTTATTATATTAAAAGAATTGAAGGTTTGTAAAAGCTAATGTGTTACAATCTTAGAATTAGTTAGTAGTATAAATACTATATTAAATTATTAATATATAATATATTTTCTTTAAAAAAAATTAAGAGCCTAGCATTTCTATTTGTATTTGTATTATACAGGGTGAGATTTACTTCATTTACATTTTAAGATAGTGGCTAACTCACTACTGGAAATTATGAAATTTCCGACCACCTGAAAGTGATCTTAAATCAAGTTGATACCAAAAAGTGATTGGAAATAGCAACAAAAGTTTTTCAGATACCAAAAGTGGTCGGAACAAGGCTTTCGACTTGATTTAAGATCACTTTCAGGTGGTCGGAAATTCCATAATTTTCAGTAGTGACTAGCTACAGATTTCCCTAGTCATCTAAATAATGATATATTTCATTAAATACTATACATCAAATATCAAGTCATTTAATGTATAATATAGATTTTTTTTTATTAGTTTAACGCTATAGAGAAGAAAGTAGGGCCAAACTAATAAAATTATACAGTACGTAATAGGAATGTTTTTTTTTTTTTTTTTTTTTTTTTATATATTAACATACTGATTTATAAATAAATTAAATAAGGTTTTAAAAACCTGATTCGGAAAAAAACAATTGTATCCACAACATTGGCTTCACCCAGAGAGCTTCAGTGTGTTAGACTGATGTGATAACCAACTACACCACGAAACCATTTGTGTTTTACTTGGCAATTAACTTTGTTTTTGACTGTGTTTAGACTTGGAGAAATGAGATTGAAACAGATGAAGACGAAAATTGATTATTGATTCAAGAGTTTACTAGTGACTGATTCAAATAAATAAATAATTTATATATATATATACATATATATATATATATATATATATATATATATATATATATATATATATATATATATATATATTGTTATTTTCTCCAACTTTAAAAGTGTAATGTTTAACAATATAGAGATAAATCCTAAAATCTTTAAAAAAAAAAAACAAAACAAAACTAAATCATAAACCTAATTCGTAAATACTAAACTTTCTAAATAGTAAACAGTGAATAACCCATAAACCAATTGCACACTAATTATTAAAAGATTTGAATCGAATAGTAAGATAACAGAAATAGACAAACAAACATAGCAATGAGTATCAAGACCCATAGTAGGATGAAAAAGTTCTCAATCAAACGCTACCTTAGCCTGATGTGCACCACACTTTTTTTTGGTTGGTTTGTGTCTGTTGCATTATTTTTCTTCCCCAATTATTAGAGAGCTTAACATCCCAGTGTATACTTAGGTTCAAACATGATTTAAAACCCTAATCCATATGCTTAGCCAAGGGGTGAGATATTTATATTAGTTGCCAAATGCAAAGAAATCAAAGCTATAGCAATGCTGCCATGATAGTGCCATTCACCCATGGATCGTGTGCCAAATCCTGTATGTGCCAAGTATACTTTTAGCCTTTTAGGTCTAAGTGGGAGAGGGAGGAAAATACAGTGTAATTGTCTCTGAAAGAAAATGACAACTTTTAACAGTAAACATATATATGCTCAATTATAGGAACAAGGATCATTTCCATTTCTGGGATAATCTAGGAAAACTATTTGATCTATGTATTACAATGCATTCTCGCTCACTGGGTGGCTGCCATCCAGGGCTATGATAGCTAGCTAATGGAGTAACTATGCTAGTTCTATGTTCTATCCTTGCATTCAAATACTAGTTTTCTTATTGACCATCTCAGAAAATGGCGGTTCGCAATAGTCTTTATTGAGCAAAAGCTCAGCCAGATGCTTGTTCATGGCTCCAGAGAGGTGAATACCATCCCAACTAATGTAACTATCAGGATCTGAGCATTTGGTCGCGCCAGACGTTCCACGCATACTGTTCCTATCAAAGTTGAATTCTCCTCCCCCTCCTCCACAGCATGCCTTTTTAGTCTCCTTGAAATTGTAATTCCCAGGATTGTTGAATATTGCTAAGAATGCCTTCCAGTAGTTTGCATATATGATTGTGCACTGAGGGAACTGCCTTCGGAACCTTTCTATCATCTTCTGGAGCAATTTATTATGAAGGTCTATTGCCGAGTTTATATCTGAGTTGCACCCCATCTGATCAAGTTGTTGAGGTGGACATGAAGATATGCTTACAGGAAAGCACCCTATTGGTGGTAAACCTTGTACTACAATGTGTTTTGCTCCTTCAGTGAGCACTGTCTGCATATCAAGAAAATTGCAAGATTTAGCAATGGGTATTCATGTCAAATTATATTCATGTAATTTCCGACCATCTTAAAGTGATATTAAATCAAGTTGAAAGTAAAAAGTGGTCGGAAATAGCAACAAAGGTTTTTCCGGTTACCAAAAGTGATCGGAACAAGACTTTCTTCTTGATTTAAGATCACTTTTCAAGTGGTCGGAAATTCTATAATTTTCAGCAATGATATATGTACATACCTGAAGAAGTTGAGTGGTATGATGAATGCATAACTGTGAGATTCCTCGCATAGCAACGATAGACTTGCTATGGATTTGGAAGTAATCCGAGACACCTAATGCACCTAACCAGAAGAGTGCATTATCAATATCGGCCTTACAACGGGCATCAGCTGCATTACTACAACCCTTAGACTGCAAAAACTTATGGAACCAAGCTATTTGAGACTGGAAGTTAAGAGGAATGTTTGTCCAGGTGAACGAATGTGCTTTATTAGAGGTGTAATATTCTCTGGAGAGAGATGTTGATCCAGCAATAGCGAAATTCATTCCAGACTCAGAACTCACTGAAGCACTACTTGAGTGACTACTTGAGTATGAAGAACTTTCATGGCTATGACTTGACCATGCAGCATTATGGGACATTGAACCATGTGATGCTGAACCACCTGAAATACCATGTGATGCTGAACCACCTGAAATACTATGTGATGCTGAACCACTTGAAGTGCTATGTGATGATGAACCACCTGAAATGCTATGTGATGATGATAAACCACCTGAAATGCTATGTGATGATGAACCACCTATGTGGCCGTTTGCTGATGAAGCACTTGTGTTATCCATTGATGATGAAGAACCTTTGTTATCCATTGATGAAGAATCATCTGTTCCGCTTTTTGACGATGAAGAATCTGTGGTACTTTCTGAAGGTGAAGTGTTTGCGTTGCTCGTTGAAGATGAAGCATCTGCATCTGCATCTGCATTGCTTTGTGATGATGAACTGCTTGTGCCGTTGTTTGGCATTGAAGCATCTTTGTTATCTTTTGAAGATGAAGCATCTTCAGTGTTACTATTTGACGATGAACCATTTGTGTCGCTATTTGATGATGATGTGTTTGCCTCATTATTGGATGATGAAGTGTCTTTGTTGCTCTTTGAAGATGAAGTGCCTGTGTTTGATGATGAAGCATCTATGTTGCTATTTGACGATGAAGTATTTGAGCCATTGTTTGATGATGAAGTATTTGAGTCATTGTTTGTATCATCATTTGAAGATGAAGTATCAGCATTGCTATTTGAAGATGAAGTATCTGCATTACTCTTTGATGAAGCATCTGCATTACTCTTTGATGAAGCATCTGCATTACTCTTCGACGAAGTATCTGTGTTGCTATTTGACGATGAAGTATTTGAGCCATTGCTTGTATCATCATTTGAAGATGAAGTATCTGTACTGTTCTTTGATAATGAAGCATTTGTATTATCATTTGAAGATGAAGTATCTGCATTGCTATTTGAAGATGAAGTATCTGCATTACTCTTTGATGAAGCATCTGCATTACTCTTCGACGAAGTATCTGTGTTGCTATTTGACGATGAAGTATTTGAGCCATTGCTTGTATCATCATTTGAAGATGAAGTATCTGTACTGTTCTTTGATGATGAAGCATTCGTATCATCATTTAAAGATGTATCTGCATTGCTCTTTGATGATGCATCTGCATTGCTCTTCGATGATGAAGTATCTGTGTTGCTATTTGATGATGAATCGTCTTTGTTGCTCTTTGATGATGAAGCATCTATGTCACTCTTTGATGATGAATTGTTATTGATTTGTGATGATGAAGAATCCATGCCACTTTGTGATGATGAAGAATCCATGCCACTCTGTGATGATGAAGAACCCTTACTGCTTTTTGCCCATGAAGACTCTGCATTGCCCTTTGATGATGAGTGATATTCGTGACTCTTTGACTTTGAAGAATCTTTAAGGTTCTTTGATGAGGAATGTTTTTTGACACTCTTTGACTTTGAAGACTCCTTACGGCTCCTGGATGATAAATGACCTTTGTCACTCTTTGACTTTGAAGAATCTTTATAGCTCTTTGATGCTGAGTTATATTTGCCACTCTTTGATTTTGAAAAATCTTTGTTGCTCTTCGATGATGAATGACCTCTGAGGCTCTTTGACTTTGAATAATCTTTGTGACTCTTTGATGATGAATGATTTTCGTGGCTCTTTGACTTTGAAGTATCTTTGTGACTTTTTGATGATGAATGAATTTCGTGACTCTTTGACTTTGAAGTATCTTTGTAACTCTTTGATGACGAATGATCTTTGCGACTCTTTGACTTTGATGAGTTTTTGTCAATCTTTGATGATGAATGATTTTCGCGACTCTTTGACTTTGAAGAATCTTTGTAACTCTTTGATGATGAATGATCTTTGTAACTCTTTGACTTTGAAGAATCTTTGTTACTCTTTGACTTTGAAGAATCTTTATAGCTCTTTGATGATGAATGAGCTTTGTGACTCTTTGACTTTGAAGAATCTTTACCAACATTTGATGGTGAATGATCACAACCACCCATTGATGATGACATTGTAGTATTATTTACAGTGTTTGATGATGAAGCATATGTGCAGTTCTTTGAAGATGAAGTACCTATGCCACCATTTGAAGATGAATCTGTGCTGGTTTTTGATGATGAATTATTTGTGCTACTGTTTGAGGATGAACCACCTGTTCCACCCGTTGATGATGAAGAATCTTTGTTACTCTTTGATGATGATTCATTATTGGTTGTGGATGAGGCACCAGTGCCACTGGTTGATGATGAAGAATCTGTGTTACTCGACGACGACGATGAAGTATTACTGCTACTCTGTGATGATGAAGCATTTGTGTTGTTCTTTGATGATGAATCATCTGTGTCACTGTTTGAGGATGAATCATCTTTGTCGTTTTTTGATGAAGAATCTGTGCTGCTCTTTGAGGATGAATCATCTTTGCCACTCTTTGATGATGACTCATCTGCGTTGCTATTTGATGATGAGGTATCACTTGTGTCGCCTTTTGATGATGAATCGTCTTTGTCACTCTTTGATGATGACTCGTCTGTGTTGCTTTTTGATGATGACTCATCTGCGTTGCTATTTGATGATGAGGTATCACTTGTGTCGCCTTTTGATGATGAATCATCTTTGTCACTCTTTGATGATGATGATTCATCTTTACTGTTCTTTGATGATGATGATTCATTTGCACCCCCGCTTGTTGATGATGATTCATCATTTGCACCACTGGTTGATGATGACTCATCTTTGCCACTCTTTGATTCATCTGTGCCGCCGCTGGATGATGATGACTCATCTTTGCCACTCTTTGATTCATCTGCGCCGCCGCTGGATGATGATGACTCATCTTTGCCACTCTTTGATTCATCTGCGCCGCCGCTGGTTGATGATGACTCATCTTTGCCACTCTTTGATGAACCTTCAGAACTTGCTCCGCCGTGACTCGACGCTTCAGAACTTGCTCCGCCGTGACTCGACGCTTCAGAACTCGATCCGCCGTGACTCGACGTTTCAGAACTTTCTCCGCCGTGACTCGACGTTTCAGAATTTGCTCCGCCGTGACTCGACGCTTCAGAACTCGATCCGCCGTGACTCGACGTTTCAGAATTTGCTCCGCCGTGATTCGACGCTTCAGAACTTGCTCCGCCGTGACTCGACATTTCAGAGCTCGATCCGCCGTGACTCGACATTTCAGAGCTCGATCCGCCGTGACTCGACATAGAAGAGCTCGATCCGCCGTGACTCGACATTTCAGAGCTTGCTCCGCCGTGAGCTGACGCCGAACCACTTGCTCCGCCATGAGCCGACGCCGAACCACTTGCTCCGGCATGAGCGGAAGCCGAAGCACTTGCTGCGGCATGAGCTGACGCCGAAGCACTAGCTCCGCCATGAGCCGACGCCGAACCACTTGCTCCGCCATGAGCCGACGCCGAACCACTTGCTCCGCCATGAGCCGACATCGAACCACTTGCTCCGCCATGAGCCGACATCGAACCACTGAAGTTGTGATGCGAAGACATAGAAAACGAATGACTACTAGACGATTGTTGATGGTGATGGTGGGAGAACGAAGCACTTCCGCCGCTTCTCGCCGAGCCGGAAACGCTCTGGTAGGGAATTGGCGGTTGCAGAGACAAAGATTCCGCTATATGATCAATGATCAACCGGCCGTTGGTCAACCTCCCCCTGTTGTACGTACGATCTGTTTGCGACAGCAAGGACGACAGCCGCACATGTTGTTTAAGGTTCCCGATGGCGTGGGCGTTTCCTGTGTCCGTCCCTGACTCCCCGAAAGCGTACAGCTTCGGAAAGCTGCCGGAGTAGTTGCCGTTGGATCTTCCACCTCCATCGGCGTTGATGTCAGCAGATGAAAAGCAGAATCTCCCAGTAAAAAACAAAAAGAAGGTTAGAGTCAGGGATAATATTTCTGGCATGACACTTTTTTTTTTTTTTTTTTTTTGGTTTTTTTTTTTTTTTTAATTTTTATGTTTTTTTTTTTTTTTTTTTTTTTTTGAAATTTTTGTAAAGATTGAAGTTCTTATCCTGTAAAGAATAGCAAGAGTAGAAGGTTGTTATTTATATTTTATACATGTTGTTGGCGGTTGGTTTGGTCGAGGAAAACGTAAGACAAGAATAAAGGGTGACCTTAGATTTAAAGAATGGTTTTGAAATGATGGGACAAAGTCAGAGGTTTGTAATGTCACAGAAAAACCAGAATTGTCTCTGGATGGTCCATGTTCTGTAACTAACTTAACTGTCATGCATTCATCAAGTTTCCTCAGCTCCCTGTGCTCAATAATGATCTTTCCTCCACCTGCTGGACCGGCCTGCTTATTATGTCACATATATATGTATATTTCAGTGTGTCTGTAATAAGTGATACTGATAAATGCTAAAATATATGGAACTGGTGTTAGTGATGAATTATAATAGAAGGAAAAAGATGATGGGTGTTAAACACAAGTAGTTCATGTAACATAGTGCTGGGTTAGGGTGTGAGGCTAGCTTGTTAGGATCAAGCTATAGCTAATAGCGAAGGTTTTGAGAGTTCGGGTGTTGGCTCCGGCTTCTTAGTCACCTGGTATTAGACTTGACCCATCATCTATTTCTGTCCAACAGTTCTCCAACACTACTTGTCAGTCGTAATTGCTAGACACATTTTCAAGAGGCCGATATGATGCTGCTACTATCTGGTCGTCGCACTACAATACATGGATAATTTTGTAATGTACTTCTGTCGTATCGGGAATATATTCATAACAAATTAAAGCATTAACATTGATGCAATCAACACTCATCAACCCAAGTGAAGTGGGAAAAACTCTCCAAAGATGGTTGAAGATTAACATTGATGCAACAAATAATACAAATTGATCAAATGCCATTGGTCCTCTGAGGGAGGAGAAATTTTGAAGTTTATTTCAAAAAAAAAAAAAAATCCTTCATTTTAAAGCTCTTAGAGCATCCACATCAGTGGATATTATGGAGATAATGTCAGATGAATTATCTCGGGTGGGGATAATAACAAGTGTGGAGTGGAGTTATTGGTTGAAATATTTCTCCTGCAAATTCAAGGAGAATGCAGAAAAAGAAGAAAAAGAAAGAGAAGAAAAAGGAGGCTGCTGTGCGCGTTTCGCGCACAACAGCCCGCCTACACGGGCGCGTCAGGCGCGTCGAACGGCGCGCCTGACTCTTTTTTTTTTTTTTTTTAATTTTTTTTTGTTTTTTAATTTTTGATTTTGATTTTTTTGTTTTTTTTTTTCATCCCCTTCCCACATTCTCTCTCCTAATCACTCTTACATTATCCCCCTATTCTTCCCAACCATTGTGGATGCTCTTATAATAATAATAATATAATATAATAATAATAATAATAATAATAATAATAATAATATTATTATTATTATTATTATTATTATTATTATTATTATTATTATTATTATTTGTTCATAACTACTTTCTCAACCTAGTGAACACAGCGAGTTAATAGCACCTCCACTGATGCTTAGGAGTGTTAGCGAACAGAGTTTTCGATAAACTACTCATGCTTGTTCGTGTTCGGTAAGCGTTCGTTTATTAAGGTAAAGGAACATTAACAAACAAAATTTAGAGTTTGGTTTATAAACGAACAAGAGTCTGAACAGTTGTAAGCTCGTTTGTTAAGAAATCGTAAACGAACTCGTTTGTGTTCGTTTAATAATGTTCGCGAATAAGCTCGTTTAGTGTTTGTTTAATAATGTTCATGAATAAGCTCATTTGTGTTCGTTTAATATTTGTTTTTGTTCTCTTTGTAGTTGTGTTACTTGTTTGGTTATTTTTTGTGAACATATATTATTTATTGTTTACGAACGAATTGTAATCATGAACATGTTCATATGTTTGGTTATTAAGCATTCACGAACGTGCTTATGAACGTTCATGAACATGTTCGTTAATGTTAACGAACACGTTTGTGACGGTATTCACGAACGTTAACAAACACTAATGGACGTTTAACACATAAACATAATTTTCAAAAACCCTAACAAGCAAACATGAACAATAATACTCAAAAAAACCTTAAAAAACGAACACGAACAACCTCCATTCTTTTATGTTCGGTTCGTTAACACCCTCGAACCCACGAGGTTCGTTAATCTCATTATCTTTTTAATACGCTGTTTTGCAATACTTTTTCAGTTTTTCGTACCCGTACGAACTTTTTCATACTAAAACCCTTCACACGAGAGTATCAAAACGGCGACCACTATAAATAGCGCATAAGCAGAACAGCCGAAGCCTAAACCCACAGCAAAACCTCCATGGCATGATTACAGTTTTCAGAGCTGCTTATTGAGCTTCCCCCACCCATCTCATAGCGGCTCTCAGGATTCAGTTCCCTGCTAATCAATGGCGAAACGACGTCGGGAGGAGACGGATTCCGATGACGGCGCGGCAATCGTTGCGGCACCGGCGACGTCGTACAATTCTGTTTTCATCGACACCGACCTCGATACGCACCTTGCCATGATGGTATCCGATCTCGACACTGTCTCTGATCTCAAAAGTAAGCCCCCAATCCCCTATAGAAAGAAAGGATGTTCATATTTTTCTAACGTAGTTAATTACATAGATAGTACATGGGATATTGATTAGGTAGGTTATAAGTTATAATCTGCATTTTTTTTTTCTATTTTTTGCGGTTAATGGGAAATTGTTAGGGTTAGTTTATCATTTATTGTTGATATTGTATTGATCTTGGTGTGAGTTTGATAGTTGAGAGAGAAATATTTGGCACTGAGTTATGTTGGATTGCACTAAGCTGTAAGTGTTTGATGAATCTACTGCTTTGACATTAAGGTTCATGCTTTTGTGTTTCTGGTATGCAGAGAAGATAATGTTCGAACACTTGCAGTGTTTACCTGAGATGGGAGAGATAAAGATCCATTCTGTGAAGGTATGCGGCTCTGGCATGTGTATTCATGCTAAAAGTTCCCCATTTGATAATTTTTCACACTTGTGCTCTCTTATAATCTTGGCAGGTGAAACGGAAAGGGGAATTCTATCATCTGCCTGATTCAATGCTTGTTAGGACTGCATTTCAAGGAACCCAAAGAAATTGGTTCCTTTATGTCACTAGTTCTATTTCGGTGGATCAGATCTCCAACAAAACGGGTGATATGCATGATGGTAACAACCAAGTAGGGTTACTTTGCATAAAAAATTATGCTCAAGATGATTCGGACTATGTTCTTTCAGATGATCCTTCAAAAGCCTTGGCTCTAAGGGATACTACTGTTGCAGTCCCAAGTGACTTGGGGATGGACATTAGACAGGTAAATGATGAGCGCTGTGGAGATTTGGCCTCTGCTCAGAAAAAGATAGTGTCTAGACCAATTGATCAAGAGAAGGCATTCACCACTCCTAGCCATGAGCTGAAGGATGATAAGTCCAGTGATAGTTCAAAGGGAATACCTGTAGAAGGTCCTTTGGCTAAAAGACAGAAATTGATGCAGGGGGAAGATGCATCTCATAAACCTGCTCTTGAAGGTGGCAATGATTCACAGAACTTTCATACTGTCAGAAATGAAAATACATCAGCAAATGACAATGAAGGAGTTCCAGTTCACATAAAAAAGAAAGGGAAGTCTGGTGCTAGAAGGAAACGTACTCACGGTGAGACTGGTTCAGAAGTGTCAAGTGTAAGGAATAACAAAGCCAAAGATAAAGACAACACGCTTACAGAAGTAGCAGAATCTGTGTCAGCTGCATTGCAAAATGAGGGAGAGAATACATTAGAGACTAGAATTGCTGAGGACTCAATGGAACACAAGCAAGAAACATTAGTGGTGGGTCCAAATGCTTTAAAAGAATCTTTAGAAAATGGCAATTTTAGATCTGATTCAGAGCATAAGGAGAGCAAAAGAAATGCAAAAAAGACCTTATTAGCCTCTGACGATGGGATATCAATGTCTATGCATTCTTCTCAAAATATTGAGATGGAAAGGAGACTGGAAACAAACTCTGGAGTTGCTCTTAACAGTTCAGATAATTCTTTTGGTGCTGCCCACACTACTATATGTACTCAATCTGAAGTAAATGAAAAAACATCATCAAGGAAAAGTCACTTTGCCAACTCTAAAGAATGTCCACCACCAGTCAATGAAGAGCATCAGACCAAAGATACTGGCATCTTTCATCCTACACATGAAAGTGTTGTGTCCAATAGTCCAAGGCTCAAGACTGATCTTCCTAATATAATTGAAGAGCAGAATTTATTACCAAATAATTATGTTGAAACTGTGTATTCTCCAAAACCTAAGCCATCAGATCAGGGTGAAAAAGTTACAAGTTCGAAACATCTATTACCTTCTTCTGACTTGTCAGTTGACAAGGGAGTTGTAGAACATGACAATAAACGGAAGAAGAAGAAGAAGAAGTCTAATGCAAGAATTCAACAGGAGTCAGAGATTAAACACTATGATGAGCCTAATAGTAATACTTCAATATCTGTGTTGAATTTCACTTCTGATCATGCAACTGATGAGATCAGGAAAGATGAAAGCAGCATTCCTGAGAATGGATCAGATAAGACCGACAAGGAAAGAACTGTGCCAGAGATTGAAGCAGATGCCACTAACAAGGTTGGAAATGAAAGCAAAGTTTTGGTGACCTGTGATCTTGAAGTGACTGCCTCTGAAATATGCCCACCTTCAGACATTGTTCAAGCAGATGTGAGTACCAAGGGGGGAACAAAGCATGACAAGAGACCTAAGAAAAAGAAGTCCAAGGGGTTGAGTGCAAGTATTCAGTTTGAGCCAGATATAGTTAATACTGATCAGGCAACTGTATTGAAATTATCCACTGATGATTATGGGAATGATGAGACTAGTAAAACTGAAACCACGGTGCCCCAAATCGAAGCAGATCATCATAACATGATTGAGAAAGAGGGAAAGTTGCCAGAGACCTGTGATCCTGACATGAAAATGCCTGAAATGTGTCTACCCTCACATCATGGGAATGAAGAGACTGCAAACCTCTCATCTAAATTGGATGCTATTCAGAGGACTGAAGACGGAAATACTGAAAGAACTAAGAGGAAGAGAAAAAGTGCCAAGAAGATAGCAGGAAAGACTCAGTATAAATTAGAGGAGGCAGATGTAGATCTGGTGAGTGGAATTTCATCAGCTGCAGTAAATGTGGAATCTAGTGAACCGGTGACTCATGATACTGCAAAAACTGAAGGCTTGATGCCTCATGCCCGAACTGGTCAGACAACAACATTGGAGAAAGGGGAATCATCTGCAAAAGATGTAGATATGCAATCAGAAAATTTCATATCTCCGGTTTGTGGAAAAGCAGATATGATCTCTGAACAACTGGAAACAATGTCTAGAGCTGAGCTTTCTAATGCCAATGCCACTGAAAAACATGAAAACAGTGGTGGAAGTCAAAAGAGAAGAAAATCAAAGAAGTCTCTTACAACAAAAAAAGATTCTAGTTTGGATCCTGCAAATGTTACTTTGGGGGTCTCTCCAGATGTCCCCACCGTTGACCTTTTTATTGATGGATCTAAGGACCAGAGCCACTTGCACTGCATGGAAATAAAAAATGCATCAGGAGGACTAATTGATACTTCTGCTGCAGGTTCTCATGTAGAAATTGATAAAGTCAATGAGAGTGAGGCAGAACATCTGCCTGTTAAGAAAGGACTTAATGAGAATGGACCTTTGCCGGTGATTCAAACTGGTAAAAGTCAGTTGGATGAAGAAAATACAGAAAAGAAGGCAAAAAGAAAGAAAAAAAGGAATAGCAGTATTGGTGGGCAGAGCCATTCAGTTTTGGCTAAGAATGATCATGAAGTTGGTGTTGAAGTATCAAATGACAATGTGTCGGTCATGCACCATTCGTCTAATGTTGCTGAGGTGTCAGGAACAGCTAAAGATGATCATGTTGGCCAAGTTGCTGTTACTGATGCTGAGCTTCTGGAAGGTGCTGTCAATAATGGACAGGCCCCAGAAAATCCTGAGGATAATAGTCGGGTGGAGCTACAAACTGAAGTCAGTACTGATAATTGTGGAGCAGTTAACTTCAGGAGCTACTTTGTTCCTGGCTCACAACAAGGCCAGGGTGTTTCTTCTGATAAGGTGAAGAAATCAGTGAAATCAAAGAGGGAGAATAAAGCAGGGAAGAAATCTGTAAAAGGGAGCTTGGTGAACTCACTAGCTCAGGATGAGGATGTGAATCCTGAATATAAGCATAGCAGTAGGACTGAACTTGGAAAGTCAAAGTATGATAAACAGTCTAAGGCTAAGCTTCAGTCCAATGATAATAGAAACAATACTCTTCAGGAGGCTGGAAACCCTGCTGTTCATGGTTCAGAGAACCCAAAGGATGCTTTGGCTTGTACATTTGAGAATAACATATCTTTTGATGAATCAAGCTCAACATCAAGCCCAACGCATTCTCAAAAATCTCCCCAATGTAAAACAGATAGATCGCAGTCAGGTTCAAATCACAAGAGTTTGTCTAGTAAACAGGTTACTGATAAGATTACAGGGGTTATTACTTCACCAAGTGCTGCTCTTAGGGATGATGGATCTGGTAATTATTGTGATGACAATGGGGCTGGAAATTCTGATGCCAGCACTCGAACTCCATCCAATGATTCTTCATCATCTGGCTTCTCAGTTGGTGGAAGTGAATTAAGTCATCATTCTTCCCGAAACGGTACTTTTAGAAATTTGAACTCTTCATTGTCCTCTTACTTTCTCCTTGGTAGTGTAGAGTCATTATAGGATACCGTTTTCCACTCCACTATCAAAGCGCATACACCAGAATAATGGTGGAGAATGTATATTACTAATAAAATAGGGAAAAACAGAGGAAGATCTCCTCTTCTTTTTGCTTGGTGTCCATTTTATTTTAGTTATATACTTGCAATTTATTCAAGATAGTCAGTTACAAATCAAAAGCGTTTTACAATTTCAGCTGATCTTTTTCATTGCCATCTTGATTTGATAGGAGCCAATGGTGCCAAAAGGAAAAAAAGTCATGGGGAGTGTAACATTAAATCAAAGTAAGTTTGATATTTTATCCTTCACCTCTGAAAGACATGATTGGATTTAAGTACTTCTTGATGCATCTTTTTGTTTTGTATTATTTTTTTGGGTTGGGGGTGCCTTCACACATTAACAGTTAGACTTGTTTGTTCATTACTTATATAGTTGGATGCCTTGTTGACAAATTTCATGGAGGTTTATGATTTTTTTTTTCTTTGTAGTTTAAAACTTCAACGTAATGGCTTAATTTTTATTTTTATTTTTATTTTTTAGATTCTGGGTTTCTTGTTATCACTCAGGCTAGAGTGCTTATATGCCCTTGGGTTTCATATTTTAAAAATCTTTTCATAGGATTGTCCTTACTTTTCAGTTTTCACATCAAAATCACACTGCATCTTGTAGTATTAACATCACAATGGCATGACATTAGTCTCTAGGAAGACTTTTAAAGCCGAGTCAGCTTGTGTATAGTCTTGTATAAAATTGTGTTTGCAAATAGCATTACTCAAATTAATGTTGGTGTTATTTTACTTGTTAAACTCCCATTGCTCATGAAATACTGTGTATTTCAACAGCCTTTCAAGTGCGAAGAACTTAACCATGGATGAGATTCTGAGAAGCTCTAGACGATTCAAGAAGGCCAAGATGACAGCTACTCAACGCCAACTTGAAACAGACAGCAAGGCTATTGATTTTGTTCCAGACAGTGAACCAAACTAGTAATGACTTAAGTTTTTTTTTTTTTTTTTTCCTATGGAAACCTTTTCATACTCTCTGGGGGAAAAATGGGGGTTCTCTTGATTTTTGTGTTGACACTCTATTTCTTATGAAAACATCTTTTGAAAAAAAGAAGAATTGTTTTTGTTTTTTTTTTGAGTCTACTAATATTGAAGATTCTTGCACAATGTTAATGTGTTCTGATTTACTGGTTTAAGATTTGTTTATTTCCTTTTCAATGAAGTATCACACATAGATTTCAAGAATCACCAGAGTAATTAAGCTGGTCTTCAAAAAAGAAAAAGTTGATTGATATTTGATACATACAAAATACTTGGGAAGTACATGTAAAGCAGGACTATTATTCTGATCTCATCTTGTTGAGCTGGTTCAGAGCAGGCTGCAAAATGTTGTAACCCACCCAGAGCAGAGCCGGGGCGACCACGATGAGCAAGAGTTGGCCCCTGCTGTCGTTGGCAGCATCGGCCAGTGCCGCCACTTCACTGGCAGCTGATGCGGCGTAGGGGTGAATGAACTGGGCGGCGGTCAGGCCGCCAAGCCCGAGCCCGATGATCACACCCTTGGTGCTCCTCATTTTGTTGATCTGGTTCAGTGCAGGCTGGAGGATGTTGAAGAGCACCCATGCTATGGCTGGGATGATGGGCAGCAAGAGTGCCAGCCCACGGTTGTCTCCATCGGCAGCTATCTCCGCTATCTGCTGGGCGGCGAAAGCCGGCTCAGACACACTCAGGGCGGAGAAGATCGCCCCAGCCAGGGCTGTTCCGGTGAGGGCAGATGAAACTACAGACTTGTCTGTGTTGCAGGCTGAGAGTCCCTTGGGAAGGTTTTTCATGGAGAGAAGTGAGATGATGGGTTTTGGCTTGACAGGGTTAATGGACGCTTTGGGTGTGGTTAAGCTCTTGGCATTAAGCATGGCGGTTGTAGCTATGGTGGCAGCCATTTTTGCACAAGAAACCGGTGGGAAGCTGAGAGAATGCACTGAAGTGAATACCACACCCTGTAATGGTGTTTTGGGGGAATAGGAAAATGGAATATAGAATGAGATGACAGGAGATCCAATCAGAAATTGGATTCAAGATTGTGGTCTTATCCTAAAGCTGTGATTGGAGAGCTTTCCACCTCATATTTGATACCCCTACCAACACTTCCTTATCGTCACTTCTTGAACTGGAAATCCTGTTTCTGAATGTGCTGATCACAAGCTCTATAATTGGGCCTTGACAGTTATTTTGATCACCTTTTGGGCTCCAACTAGGGGTGTAAATGAGCCGAGCCGCTCGCGAGTCGCTCATGAGCGGTTTGGTCAACGCTCGGCTCGAACTCGGTCAAAATTGAGCTCGGCTCGAGCTCGAACAGCTCGTGGATTAAACGAGCACGAGCCGAGCTTAGGTATTGTAGGCTCGCGGCTCGACGAGCCGTTTGTGAGCCTTATAATATATTATATAATATATAATATATAATATAATTATATTATATTTAGTATATAAAATAATAATTAGGGGAGGAAAATTAAAATACTATAATAATTATGTATGGATAAAAGTCATAAAACAAAGTAGTTTAAATTTTAAATTAAACAGGTCAAATTCGAGCCTAAACTCGAGCTCGAATTCGAGCTTGAACTCGAGGTCGAGTTCAGGCTCGAATTCGAGCTCGAGCAGCTCGACAATTGCCGAGCTCGAGCTCGAGCATCAGTTCACGAGCTCGAATGAGCTCGAGCTCGAGCTCGAGTAGTGCTATCATTAACGAGCACGAGCATGAGCTTACCTAGGCTCGGGCTCGGCTCGGCTCGTTTACACCCCTAGCTCCAACATTAACCAAATTATGTCATGGGCATGGCCCTTTTTTTGTTCCCAATCCGTAGAGTAGTTATGCTGGGCATCCGTATGCACCATGGATGCAAAAATGACGTCGTTTTATTAAAAACGCGCGTCTCCCCTTAAAAAAGAAAATTCAGGTTCGATTCCCAGTAACAACATTATGTTGTTCATTCATTATGGAATTTTAGTTCATAGATTATGGAATTTTAGTTCATTGATTCTGGAATTTTAGTTCATTGATTCTGGAATTATAGTTCATCGATTCTGGATTTGTAGTTCATCGATTTTGAAATTTTAGTTCATAGATTCTGGAATTTTAGTTCATAAATTCTGGAATTTTAGTTCATTCATTCTGGAATTTTTAGTTCATAGATTAAATTCTGAAACTTTAGTTCATCGATTCTGGAATTATAGTTCATCGATTCTGAAATTTTAGTTCATATTTTGTTGCTGGAAATCGAACCTGAATTTTTTTTAAGGGGAGACGTGTGTTTTTAATAAAACGACGTCGTTTTTGCATCCGGATGCACAGCATAATTTGCCCAATCCTTATATTCTGATCCGGGTCCATCTTGCGGCTCGTCCTTAAGTGTTGGTTGTGTTCACTTTTCACCTCTAAGCTATATTATTGGCATTGCACTTTCTGTCTCTAAGTTATATTAAAATTGCAAATTTCGTCCTTAATGTTTTGTTAGTAAATGAACAAAAAGTGTAACGCCAATGATTTTTGGGACGAAAAGTAAATATGATCAACAATTAGAAATGAATTTTACAATTATTATATAACTTAAGGACGAAAAGAACAATTTTATCATAAAATTACTCAGTGTACATTACAATTGACTGATGATAAAAAAAAAAAAAAAAAAAAAAAAAAAAAAAGTAAACACAATAAAATACTATGGCCGCTGCTACAAGTCATTGCCTCAACTAGCCAATTCCTGTACGCAATGAATTCATATTGCCTGTCAGAATGACACAGTAAACTACTTGGGAGAACATGCGATTGCGTATTTAATGCCCTAAAGAAGTCCAACGTTGTCTTTAAACGAGAAAAACTCGTGTATATTCTCAATATCATACGACATTCAATTCGGTATTTTCATATGGTAAAATTAATCAAAATCCGCCCGAATCATACTCGTAAAGTTTTCTTTTTTACTTTGAAAAAAATAACATAAAACTCTTTAATGATATATGTAACTATAAGGTTAGATGCACCTTTCACTTACACTACCAATCAACTTATCAATTGTTCTAAATTGTTGATATTTTAATTAATTAATTTAAGACGCATTGTTAAAATTACCAATTTTTTTTTTTTAAAAAAGAATTACAAAAACAGATTTTTGTTATCTAATTTTATTGAAAACTTTGTAATATAAATTTTAACTTATTTTAATGTTAAAAAACGTACACATCGGAATAAAAAAATGTATAGAAGGTGATAATTGCTTTCAATTATGGTATTTGGTTGGGAAGACCAAATGAACAATGATGTATGAAGGAATTTAAAATATGATAACAGCCAACACGCATTCTGCAAAATTTTGCGGAATAAAAATCTATAAATTGGCGCAATAGTTGCTGTTACCAATCCTCCAGCACTCAAATTTCTTAAACTATATAAATTGCCTTGGAGAGTAATTCAGTTGAGAAATTGTATTTAAAATTTGTTTTAAAGAATATGATATGAGTTTGAATTTTGTCACAACAGTATAAAGATTGAGTATGAACATTTTGTGAGTATAAGCATACAATTTGGTGTTGAGTATTGAAACAAGTTCTTGAATTAGGGTTGAGTGTAAAAATCACTTTGGTGTTGGATCTTTAAGTTGGCTCGTGGGATCCAAAAATTAGTCCAAAAAAAAGTTAGGTTACTAGGTAGGATTAAGCTCCTTTATTTGCGTCGAAGTGAATTAGTCTAGCGAAATTGGGATACATGGTTAAGTACAATTTGATGTTAATTCATGAAGCTGGTCCGTGGAATCTAGGAATTAGTATAGTGAAGTTGTTAAAAAAATGCGATGACATTTTCGTAATTATCAGTAACTTTACTATGCAAACTTGAACACTAAAATATGTCATTCTCAGACTTTTACAGGTTTGCACATTTAGTGTTGTTAACATTTTGCACATCTAATATTAATATTTTGTATATTTAGTATTAAAAGATTGCGTCAATGATCTTGTGGTCTAGTGGAATGAAGTGACTCTTTAGTCTTCAGTAAACTGAGTTTTTTGTTTGAACTTTTTCGTTGATTTTAAAAATTTTACTAGGTCTGCATATTTAGTTGTTAAAGTTACATATTTAAGTGTTCAAGTTTTCATACTGTGTGTGTGTGCGCGCGCGTATAAAAAAAAATTGCACATTTGTCAAATGTACGTCTATGACGTGTTTCATGTTTTATATTTCTTTTGTGACAAAAGGTAGAATCGCCCACCCCAGGCACCCACACTCCGACCTAATTGGTGACTCAACTAACCAACAGAGGTTAGACTTTTGCTCACTGCGCACAATGGTCCCCTCATTTTGAGAGGTTGCTCTCACATTGTCGTTGATGAAACTCAAGCATTGATCTTTTGTGACAAATTTCATCTCTGCAATCAATTGGTGTATGAGGTATTTCATGTCTTATATTTCTTGTTCCCCATTACTCTAATACTTATATACTAGGAAGTCATGATAGAAAAATTATTTTTAATTAATTTAGTGGTTTAAAAGAACTCCCCTCCCCCCCCCCCCTCCAAAAAAAAATAATAATTTTCCATTGTATGCAAATATATGCACTTCTAGCTCATTGAGCTGAGTGCAAGTCAAGATGTAACTCGGTTTCTAATACAAGACTTGTCCACTATATGATTATTTGGACTACAATTATTGTTGTCAATATAATATTCTACAAAGTATTATACACTTTGCAATAATCTTATTTAAAGCAGGTGCGTACGGTTCACTAAGCAAACATCATTACAATTTTCAAGAGGTAATGAACAAATATAATAAAGGAGTATTATTGGGTTTACATATACTCCGTATATATTATTGTCTATTTGGCTATATTGATTTCTTTAAATTCTTATTAAGAATTGTATATATTGGAGAATGGGCACAAGGCTTAAAATATTGGATAATGGATGACTCAATCTCCATCTCATCTATCAATAAGAATAAACAAAGCTTATCCGCACGGATTTAATTCAATGATTCAGTAGATTATATTTAATTTGAAGAAGAATAAATAAAGAGTAAAAACATTTTTGGTCCAAGACTTATAGTGGCTTAGACAATTTTAGTCCTTTATAAAAA